ATGTTAGCACTTCCTACCAAATCTTTTCTCTTTCAGTTTCTTCATGTTCTTGGCTCCAACAGTACTGCAAATACTCTCTACTTACCTGTTTTGTGAACCTCTAGACCCCAGAAAGAAGGAGGCATGTTTCACAAAAGGTGAAATGAATGGATTGACTAACTCTTCCTGACACTCCAGGCCAAAAGTCCAACTTTTCAATACAAAGCGTAGTACATGTTGTATAGTTGGCCACCAGCTTCTGTGAAAATAAAACCAAAGTGATGTTAATGCTTTGGGCTAGCAAAGAAACCATTTGTATGGGCATTATAGGGATATATTCCCTGTTACAATCCTGTCACTGTTATTGCCCATCCCAGGATAAGTGAGAGCGAAGAGCTAAGACACCCCTAACAGAGCTTACAAGTCTCACAGTCTAATGCCCACCTCCCACTATTACTGCTGTCATTTTCCAAAGAAGACAGTGATGCTGATGGAAGTGGCTGCCTTCCATGTGCGTTGTGAAATACCTGAGGTGCCTACATTAATAGAGAGGAAGGGCTTAATTCCCACAGCTGGTGTAAGTCAATGCATACTTACCAGTTACAGGTGAGACGCCAGATACTGAAGGAAGGAGAAATCCCCTTTTTCTGTACAGGCAAATGTAATCAAAGTCTTACAGGATACATGCAATTAAACCAGTATGTGACATTTTAACCTCTGCTCAGCCAAGCAATGCTGGCTATAGAGTGAATGTTGTGGATTTGTTTTCCAGGTTTGGGGGGGTACTTTTTCCAAAAAATAGTGTGTGTTAGCACAAATGCACAGAAAACATAGCCCCTTCCCACTGCTATTTGAGTTATAGTTAGTTTTGGCAAATACAACAGGGTTTTGTGAAGCTGGAGAGTGACAGAGGGGTGATATTTCTCTTCTACAGAATATTAAAAAAAAGCCAGATATTCCAATCCAGTGAATCAGGCAGCATGAGAAAGATCCCACACTGGGAGCAGCATCCTCACAGCACTGGTTTGCCATGATGGGCAATGTGTATGAAAAGTGCTTGGAATTTGAAAACCCTCAGAGAATTCCTTAAAATCCCAGTTTTGAGCTACTGTAGCAGTATACTGCAAAGGAATGGGCTTATCCCTCAGGCAGGCTGCTGTAATGCCTGGCACCTGCCTTCAGCGGCAGGGGCTTGTAGGGTTTGTTTTATTTCACAGCATCAGTGCATCCAGGGTTTACCTCTGAGCTCGAGACCAAATGAAAATCTGCTCCTCAACAGTAACTTGATCATGCATACAAAAAAAGTCACATCTAGCTAATGTCACACTAGATTATTAGATAAAATTTCACAGTATTGTTTAGCTGAGATAGACCACAAACCACTTTCCACCTTTGCCAAAAGGATTTTGTCACAAGGGGGCGATTAGTCTTCTAGTTAATACTAAAAAATTTCCAAGAAAAAAATCTTCAGCAAAGGCAGAACAACTGGGCTGCTCTAAGTGCCCAGGAAGACCATCAAAAATTGGAGATGTTTCTACCTTTATATCCAAATGCAGAGGCACTAAACCACTCATCTAGGGTTACGTGAGGTCTTCTGCATTTATTCTGTGTTAGGTGTTTGCCTTCCCTGTCTGATTCTTTAGAAGGAATTTACCTGCACCTATACTGGAAAACCAATTAGGGCTGAGGCACAGGCATGAACTCTACCTGCCAGCATCCCCACTACCTCTTTTCCAGCTTGCCCCTGGAGTAGGTTTCTCCTGCGGCAGCCAGCACCCTGAAGGCACCGAGCAGGGACAGCCGGGCAGCACTGGGTCCAGCAGGTGGCATAGAAAAAGGTGTGTTCCCTTACTGCGTTCACAGGCACCACTGGAAGCAAGAGGGTGGCTAGAGTAAGTACAACCAGGCAATACCATGCCTTGGCAGAGCAGGTTTCAAGGTTGGCACACTCACCTCTAGGCAGGGCGGGATGTGGCCAGGGCTGCAACGCGCTGGGAGCAGGAGGGGAAGAGAGATCCATCAGTCTGAATAGCTGGGGGTTGTGTGACAAACATTGAATGTGGCCCTCAACTCCACACGTACAAATAAACTGGAAAAGCAGTTGTTTCCTGGACAGGTCTAGAGACACGGTTTACAGAGTACAGAAACATGCATGGGTTTTATGGCTTGAATAATGTCTACACATAAAACCACGATGTTTTATGCAATGGGAACTGTAAGAGTTTATGCCTACTAGCTCTGGGATGACAGCCCTTTTCCTTCAAAACATACCCTCAACAGCAGGATTATAGCCATGCCTTGCTTACTGGTGAGCGCAGAAGCAGCAGGAAGAAACCCGTGTCTCCAGTAAGTTCTTTAGGAATGCCTGGTGTGAAGCATTCCCCTTTGGGGGATTCCCTTGGGGGGAATATTATTAGTGGAGAATAAGAGGGAAAGGGTCCTTTGCCAGGGGTCTGGATTATGGCCATACTGACGTGGTTTTCCTTCTGTTGTAGAAGGCACTTCTGCTGCCTGGCAGTCAGGTTGGCCAAGTTGTTACGATACAGCCTTCTTATCCAATGCATGGGCTCAGATGACAACAGAGTGATGCTGTTCGCATTCTGTAGCAGAGTGATGCTGTTTACATTCTGTAACAGAGTCATGCTGTTTGAATTCTGTCCCTCATGATATATCTGCCAGTGGGAGACTCATGGCTCCCCAGCTGCTTCAGCACTGGCCTTTGGGATCCAGTACCATTATTTCAGCAAAGAATCGAACCATGTTTTACCTTCATCTTGCCGAGTCGGAAACAAAATGAAAAAACCCAAAGCCCCACATACTTGAAAAGGATACCTGAAAAGTCTGATGGTTATAACAGTGCCATGGCAAACAAAAAATTATTTCTCAGTGCTGTGACTGTGGTCCATTATAAATGGCTGAGAATGAGAGTGAGAACATCACTGTTACCATTATTCGTATGCACCAGTGCACACTGACTGTAAACTCTTCCCCTCCCCGGATCTGTGAACCTCTCCCTCAAAGGCTGCTGTTCTTGGCAGACCTGTAATCATACAATTATGTCGCCTACTACTAACGTTAAGTGCTTGAAAGGACAGTACAGGGGCAAAAGTACTTCCAAAGTCCATTCAGGGACATGAATACAAATTCTCTGTTCTGAAAATAACCCAATTTATGAAATACAGTCCTCATTTTGGATGGATGTCAAAGTTCTAAATGCCTTCAAAATGAATTAGAAATCAAAGGTTTCTGGCACTACCCAGGTCCTGGCAGACCTCTCACCATCTTTTTATGAACAGAACTGAGGAAATCTTTGTCCAGGCACTGTGAGCAACTGGCAACAGAGACCGGAGACTTTTACGAAGGTCTTGGTGGTGCAGTCAAACCCCAACAGATTCAGCTAAATACTTCCAGGACCCCCATCCCCATATGGGATACTAAAGAACCTGCCCAAGTCATAGAAACTTGTCCAGGTGGTGGCAAAGGAGGGACTTAAAGTCGCATTTCTCATGTCATGGTTAGGTACATGAAACAGATTTTTTTTTTTCCTTTAATAAGAGGGAATCTTCTAAGAATTTTTTACCTAAAACTGCTGTGTTGATGATGGATAAGTCAAAATAAAGCAACTGGAAGAAATGCATGTATTTATTTGTTGTTTGGCCCTGCTTTTTGTTGCTGCTATTGAAGATCATTGTGAAAATCTGAGACAAATTTAGGGGCTTTGCACATATGTCTGCAGGTGCAAAACTTAGAACATAAGGTGGAAAGAACAGCTGCTGTATTCAAAAGTGTCCCCCCAGAAGCAGTCATTGGTGCGTTTGAGTAGTCACCAGAGTTCAAAAAATAGCATCACCAGGTGAGATCTACAAGCCAGCTATGTCCGCGCTGTGTAGATGGACGAACTGGGAATAAAGATAAAATAGGCAAAATGCTCTGTTTGGCTGACCAGGTGAAGAGCGCGCTTTGGGGGATGGTGTTTCTGGACCACAAGAAGAAAGAATTAAAACTCTCCATGCTCCAGAAAAAAAAAAAAGGTCAGAAATACAGGTGCTGGCTTCTCTTACATGCCACAGAACTGCACCTCTCCACTTCCTAAAAGATTTGGCTTTGTGGTGGAGGTACCTACTCCCGAAGGAGGTGGAAGAACACCTTCAGCCGAGCCGTTGCTCTGCGATTGCTGCTCAACATTCCCCTCGGAGCTGTGGCACTGACTGACTTCAGGTGAACCACAGGACTCTCAAGCTAAGCGGGAAGATTTGGTGTAGACAGATCGATAGATACAAATGCATACGTGCACGTGTGCTTTAAACCAGAGATAAGGCAGACAAAGCTTGGGGGTAAATACTACTATATCACAACAATTAGTGATACTACTATATGACTGCATTGTGTGGGAGGATTTAAAAACCTGTCATTTCTTTGTTGAAACAGTCCTAAAAGTGAAGGATTTCTGATGAGCTTCACAACATCAATTACATGAAAATTGCTTTCCCTTCTCCCTGCTCCCGAGAATCTCTATTTTATTTTCATTCCAACTGACACAAAAAAAATGGTCCCTGTTCATCCTGTGTCCTGGAAAGCATCGCAGAGACCCAGCGTGCTGGGCCAACCCCACCACAAAATTTATAAAATTTTATAAAATTACCAGCTTTTCCCCCATCCTGTTACGTGCTAAGCCATCCATCAGTATGACAGTGATCTTATTTGTATTCGCCGGTAAAATGAATGGTACTATTCTTACAGCCACACAGGATGCCAACAGCTTAGGATGTAAGCCAGACTTCCCCAACTCAATTAATAGAGCAGCTAAATTTTAACCGAGACTGTGGTTTCAGTTCTGTCCTTTGAGTGTGGCATCTTGATTAGCTAATACAAATCTCCAAGGTCAGCTATAGTGACAGGAGTTCTTTGTTTGGATCCGGTACTCACCCAAAACGTATTTGAATCGAGCCAGAGCCTCAGTTTGGCTTTCAGGTGAATGAACACTGCTCAGAGGAGGCCAGGAATGTCTGTATTTCACTTACCGAGTAGCACCGTTCGTAGTTTCTCCATCAGGAAGGATGGAGAGGTGCAAGTCAGGCTTCTCGCTTCGCCCAGCTTTCCTGCCAGGCACAAGGCGGAGCAAGTCACCAGGAGATGCTGCCGAGTGAATCAACAGCATGTCCTCCCTCCCCTCCCAGCAAAACGCTTTGCTTCATCCAAAGCACAGGCTCGCTTTGCTCCTGGGAAAAGGCGAACGCAGTGTGTGTTACTCAGCAGCAGCCACTGCACAGCCGTGGAGGTAAATATCTACCAGGATGGGTCGTTTCTACACTTTTAAAACACAAATATGTGTCTGTCTGGTTATTAGCCACAGGAAGGATGTACAATTTGAGAATGTGGAGCTTTGGAGATTTTCATATCTGGAGACACCAAAAAAATGGGAAAAAGTCACCACTTTCCCTGCACACCAGAACCGGCAATGCTCTCCCTGGACATGTGGAAGCCATTTGACACCTCACCAGGGACACGAGTTACAGCCTTTAAATCTCACATGGGAAAACAGCTGAAGCTCTCAGAGGAGTTCAGTGTTTAGACTTCATTTTTTTACGATTTTCTACATAAATTAGCAAAATAAGAGAAAACACCCCAAACCTGCTACCAGAGACCCCTCAGTAGTCACAGGGACAGCTGAGGATCCCTGGAGCAGCTCTCTGGCAGACAGGGCAGGACCCTGCTCCACAGACCCTGGCTGGATGGGGTGCAGCCACAGGGAGACACGAAGGGGGTGAAGCATCCTGCATATTGCAGAGGCCATTGTTTCCCAATGTGTTGTCCCGATGTGATGAGCCTTCCTTCCAAGTGAAGACTTCTTATCACCTCTAGTCTTTCCAGCGTACGGGCAAGCGCATGTGTGTTTTGAAAAGCTGATGAACAACAGGGAGCTTTGGAGGACCTTGAGGTGCAGGAGTCTGGGCAAGATTCTCTTTGCTTTCCGCTGTCATAACTTTCTATTACCTCATGTCTCTCCCCGTACAGGTGCACGGTCTTGTTATCCCTGTGAAAATGAGAAAACACCCTTTTCCCTCTGTCAGCTCTTTCACCGGGACACCAAAAGATTGCTATCCTTTCTCCCTCATCCAGAACTGACCTGACTTCTTTGGTAGTAGAAGTAGCCACGTAGTAGTCATCCACTTGGTGCTGCGTGAAGGGTCTCTGCTCTGTCATCCTCTCATGGTAAAAATTACAGACAATAATTAAAGTTAGTAATTAAACACATTAGAAAATATGAAATACAAAAAGCTTGGCTACGTGCTAGTTATGCTTCAAAGCTGCAGCCAAGTACACCGTGTTCAGGACATGGGAACGTGAGCATCAGCGCTGCGGCAGCCCCAGGCTAGATGTCAGATGCTTCTGTTTCCCTGCCACCCGCCAGTGGTATGGCAATCAATTTCTAAATAAATAATAGTCACATTTCATTGAATCTCCCTGCCTCTCTCTTGCAGGGAGGTGTTTCTCTAGCTGGTCTTTCCTTTGCTTGTCCCTGTTTCTGCTGAGGTTAGTAGGAATTTGGCCTTTAACGATATCTCATGTTAGGACACAGTGAGTGCAGAGGAATAAAGGCCTTTTTTTTTTTTCTGGCCAATTCTTCTTCAGCTTAGAAGGTCCCATTCAAAATTAATCTGATAAATTGAAAAGTGGATAAGTATGATGTAACTGTGGTTATCAGGAATTACAGGTTAGGGCGTTCCTTTCATTGCTACGACAAAACGACGATCTTTCCCCTGGGAGCATTAGCTAGCAAACACATAACTCTGAGCCTTAACTTTGTGTGCATGGACTCTCGCTGCTGCTGACCTGTTCCTGAATACACAGAAGATGGGGCCAGCAGGTGCCTTGTCAGCTGTGCCTGCCCTGGAGCATTTCTGCCACTTACCTGAAGGCAGTTGGAGCCTCTCTGGTAAGCCTGGAGCAGAGGGCCTTGGCTTGCAGTTTGACCTCCCCAGCCCTTCCCCTACGTTGGATGTTCAGATACTTTTAGGGTTTACTTCTACAGAGGCAAATGCATAATGCCACAGGGCTTTTTTTTTTTTTTTTTTTTTTTTCCCTTCAGGCCACCTGTGGAGCCTGCAATGTCCCACTCGTCCCCAGAGCCCGACATTGCTCACCTATTTTCCTCCCCCCAGAGCAGCTTTGTGGGACACGAGCAACACCAAGCCTCATGAGGAGCTGAAGAACAAGGTCCTCCTCAGTGGACCTCAGCCCTGGTCCCCAGCAAAGTCCCTTCCATTCCTCACTCCGAGCAGTATCTCTACCGAGGGAGCTGTGCGAATGCTCTGGAACCTGCTTCCCAGCTCCCAGATTTCCCAGTGCCTCAAGGAGTGGGGAGGAGGGTGAATTGCACCCATGGGTGACCAAGAAGAGACCTGGTGAAAAGAGGGGATGCTTCAAAGGGCCTGAGGTCAGTGCCGGGGATCTCTTCCAGCTTCCACCTGTGCAGGGAGCATTGCAAATGGAAGGGTCGCCCATGCATGGCCAAAACACCGAACAGAGCCTTTCTGCTTCCCAGGTGAGATTTCTGCTGGTGCCAGGGCTGCGGTGCATTAAATAATGAGATCCTTGGCTGCCAGTGCTGCTGCTCCCATGGCCGGGGCCCCCTGAGCCCATCGCGGCCAGAGGGTGACTGCCCTGGGGGGCTGTAAAGCTGGGGTTGGGACCCGGCTGCCGGAAACTCCCCCCG